CTGTGCCGACTGTCTACGACTCCAAAAGGCGGAGTGCAGGTGTGTGGCCGAACTTGCTCTGTGCCCCCCACTCCAGCTCCACAAGCAGCAGTTTTACAAACGCATCTGTCCTCCAGGCCGCACCTGTATTTGAAGGTGAAGCCGGTGCGGTCGGTGCCCACTCGGTACTGCCGCAGGAACTCCTTGAAACGCCTCTGCAGCTGCGATTTGAGGGCCTGCCCCTCATCGGCACCGGTGTCCCCACCAAAGCTGTCGCTGTAGAAAATGCCAGGGTCGTCAAAGCCCGACATGACTGCACCTGGCGTGGGAACAAAGAGCTAGAACAGGCTGGGGGCGGCGCCCGGACTGCCCTCTCCTACGCCTGGGTCCCCGGCCCCGAATGAGGGGCGGGATGTCCCGGCTCCGAGTCAGGGGTGCGGGTGACCCCGGATGCCCTCCCGGACCCTCACTCCAGTTCCCCAGGAGAAACTGTGCCCCACTCCTCCTGCACCCTGAAACGCTGACACCCTCTGAGCACCCCGTAAGGCTGCCTCCCCCGGCCCCCACTCCTCAGTCCCACTGGCCTCACCTCTCCTTTTCCCCACTCCAGGAACCAGGGGAGATAATAATCTCCACGCTCCGCGGCTGAGTTTCGCGGGAAAAACTAGAGACAGACTTCGGATGCTACGGCCGCTGCGCCCCTATTGGTTCACCGGGGCCCTGCGGCCAGCGATTGGGCTGGTCTGAGAGCACGAGCCCCGCCTCCCGGGCCGGCTGTCGAATCACGTTGGCTGCAAGGCGCAGGACGTCACGCCTCCCCTCCTTCCGGGCTCCATTTTGTATGTGGAACAATTTGGCGCGAAACTTGTGACCAGGAAGGAAGCGGCGGGGCTCCACTGGGCGGACGCAAAGATGGCGGAGGGGTGGGGCCGAGCGACGAGCGCGGGTGTTGCGGGTCCCTTTGTGTGCTTTTTTTTTAAGGTTTTGGGTTTTTTTTGTTTTTTTGAGACAGAGTCTCACTCTGTCACCCTGGTTCACAGCAACGTCAAACTCCTGAGCTCAAGCGAGCCTCCTGCCTCAGCCTCCCAAGTAGCTGGGACTACAGGCATGCGCCACCATGCCCGGCTAATTTTTTCTATTTTTAGTCACCCAGCTAACTTTTTTTCTATTTTTACTCCCGACGGGGTCTCCCTCTTGCTCAGGCTCGTCTTGAACTCCTGAGCCTAAGCAATCCTTCCGCCTCGGCCCTGAGAGTGCTAGGATTACAGGCGTGAGCCACCGCGCCCGGCACGTGTGTACTTTTCTTAAGCCTTTTTGAAAGTCTCGTGGTAAAATAACCCGTTTCAGAGCCATGGAAGGTTCAGAAATGATAGGGTCCAAATGCCCCGCTTTGCAGCGGGAGACCAGGCCCCGACTAGTACCGGCTGGTCGGTGTGCGGGCCAGGCCTCTGGCGAGGTGATGCGGAGCCACCTCCCTCTAGGTGGTGGCGGGACATGGTCACTCACGTTACTGCTCCTGGTTCATCGTGACACTCCGCTTCCAAAAGTTGAAAATTCGTCAGAAATAAGTCACCTCGGGTCTCCTTAACCTTACCTCTGGGACCAAAATAGTCACAAACTTGAGACGAAAGGGATGTTTTCTTTCACCCAAATGGTGATTTTTTTTTTTTGAATTGTACGTTTTTAATTCTTTGGCAGTGCTTAAAATGTGTGAAAATTCATGCCCAGATTTCCAACCTAGCTTGAAAAATTGGAAGATTTTGCAAAAGCGGACTGGAATCCTCAAGCGACAACATGGACTGCTCCATCTCCCCTCCCCTCCTCTCTGTCCTCCCCCTCCCCAACAGGAACAGCTGGAAGGAACCTTCTGTTGTTCTCTTTGCCGCATGCACACAAACGTATATTTACAGGGAAAGTTTAAATTATGTGTATATTTTTAGGCCTGGAACAGTGGCTCATGCCTGTAATCCCAGCACTTTGGGAGGCAGAGGTGGGAGGATAGCTTGGGGCCAGCAGTTTGAGACCAGCCTAGGCAACATAGTGAAACCCCATCTCTACAAAAAAACAAATTTGTTTTAATTAGCAGAGTGTGGTGTCATGCCCTGTTATCCCAGCTACTCCAGAGGCAGAGGTGGAAAGATCGCTTGAGCCCAGGAGTTTGAGGCTGCAGTGAGCTATGATCAGGTCACCATACTCAGCCTGGTCAGCAGAGTGAGACCCTGTCTCTTAAAAAAAAACAAACCAAAAAAAACCTGTATTTTACAGTGTATAAAAATAAAACTAAATAAGTCTGAAACTTGTTTTTCTCATTAATTCTTCATGGACACCCCTGTCAGTCAACATACATAGTTTGGCTGGGCACGGTGGCTCATGGCTGTAATCCCAGCACTCCGGGAGGCCAAGGTGGGAGGATCACTTGAGGTCAGGAGCTTGAGACCAGCCTGAGCTAGAGTGAGACCCCGTCACTACTAAAAATAGGAAAAAATTAGCTGGGTGTCATGGCATGTGCCTGTAGTCCCAGCTCCTTGGGAGGCTGAGGCAGGAGGATCACCTGAGTCCAGGAGTCTGAGGGTGCTGTGAGCTAGGCTGATGCCACGGCACTCTAGCTGGGGCAACACAGTGAGACTCTGTCTCAAAAAAAAAAAAAAGAGACATAGAGTTAGCTCATTCTATTTTAACAGCTACTTAATCTTCCATAGTATAACGACAAAGACTCTCTCCTTGGCCAAACTCTAGCTGGGTTCCTCTGTGCCCTCTTCTCCACTAGGCCTCAACCTTTATCTATAAAGATGTGAACCAACACTAACAGTTTCTAATAGCTCCAGGCCACCCTTAAAGTGGCTGCCTAAGAAAATTCAAAGCTGCCAATAAATTTTTACTGTTTGTTCCCGTTGGCACCTGAGGATGCGACCTCTGTCTCCTAGTCTCTGTGGGATACCCCAATAATTTTTTAATTTTTTGTAGAGTTGGGGTCTCGCTATGTCACCCCAGCTGGTCTGGAACTCCTGGCCTCAAGCAATCCTTCTCACTTACGCCTCCCAAACTGCTGGGATTACAGGGGTGTACCACTGTACCCGGCCTCAATCTTTCTTTAAAATGACCATTCTAAATAGCCAGGCAGGATAGCGCCTGCCTGTAGTCCTAGCTACTTAGGAAGCTGGGTCCAGGAGGATCGCTTGAGCTCAGTAGTTTGAGGCTGCAGTGAGCTATGATGATGCCACTGCATTCCAACCAGGGTGACAGAGCGAGACCCTGTCTCAAAAAAAAAAAAAAGAAGGGCAGGCGCGGTGGCTCACGCCTGTAATCCTGGCACTCTGGGAGGCCGAGGCAGGTGGATTGTTTGAGCTCAGGAGTTCGAGACCAGCCTCAGCAAGAGCAAGACCCTGTCTCTACTAAAATTAGAAAGAAATTAATCGGACAACTAAAAATATATAGAAAAAATTAGCCGGGCATGGTGGCACATGCCTGTAATCCCAGCTACTCGGGAGGCTGAGGCAGTAGGATCACTTGAGCCCAGGAGTTTGAGGTTGCTGTGAGCTAGGCTAATGCCACGGCACTCACTCTAGCCAGGGCAACAGAGTGAGACTCTGTCTCAAAAAAAATAAAATAAAATAAAAAAAGAAAGAAAGAAAAGAAAAAGAAAAAAAGAAATTAAAATACCCATTTACCTCTGTATAAATCAAAGCTGAGTTCAGCTCATACTGGACTCTTCCCTATTGCAATTGTTATTACTGATTAAAATCTGTCTTTACCACTTTTACTAGTGTCTGGCTTTGTTTGACAAATGATAGAACACAAATTATTCAGCCATTCTCTTATTAGAGTTCGACATGGTTTCTCTCTCTCCCCTCTCCCCTCCCCCCCTTCCTCACTACAATGAATGTCTAGGCCCTTTTCACGTATGAGGGAACTGGGCCCAGGGAGGGCGAGCTGCAGCTGCTATTCGAATGCCTATGCTTTGCACACATAATCCCATAAAGAGTGGCTCCTGGACCTGGGTGCACATTGGAATCTCCCAGGGCTTTCTTCATAAACATCAATTCTTTTCATAACCGTTGAGTCCCACCCCAGGTCTCCAGAATCAGGACCTCCCAGCGTGGAGCTCTGGATTCAATGGTTAAGTGTCTCCGGGCAATTCTGATGCCACCACGCACACACTGGTGTTCGGAAACCACTGGATCCTCCCACCAAGTGCGGGAGGTAGGTGTATTGTTCTTATTTACCAATGAACGAAATGAACCTTGAAGTGACTTGGCCAAGGTTCCAGACTTAGTGACACAGTCAGAACTAGGGACAAAGGTCTCCTGACTCTCAGTCCTCAGGTTCTAGTCGGATAAGGAAATGTCTTGGTCCCCTGCTCTGCCCAGTACACCTTCAGTGCAGGGTTTTCTAGGATTTCAGTTGCTTTCAGGACTTAGGGCACTGGCTAAGGCTTGGGTTCTAGAGCTGGACAGACCTGGCTGAAATCCTTCCTGACCCTCAGAGAGTGGCAACACCCCTCAACATAGAGACGACATAAATGAGATGACTCCCATAGTACAAGAATCACTAACCATTGGCCTCCTTCCTTGCATAGCAGGAGCTAACAGTGCACAGTGTTGGCATTTAACATGCATCTCATTTGCTTTCCAAGACAGGCAAGGTAGGTATATTCATGTCGCACATGATAAAATGGAGCCCCCAAGAGGTTATGTAACTAATCTCAAAGCAGGATTTGAATGCAGGGATCTTACTCCTGTCCCCAAGAGTCTCTAGACAGAAGACATAAATTTTATCCCAGAATCTGCTCATTTCCACCTAACAGGCAACCCCATCCTCAGGAAAGGTGAGTTTCCCTTCAAGCAGGGCTCAACACAATGATTCGCCCATCACCTGCTTCAATCTCACCTCCCGAATTCTCAAATGACCAACTCTGGCCAAACCCACCATCACCACCTCTCCCACCAGGCATTGGAGGAACAAGCGAGGGAGAGGTCAGCTCCCCAAGGATAACAGAGCCCATGAAAAACACTGCAAGTTACTATCAGACAAAGTCATTTATTATTTCACACAAAAGTTAGAGACCAAGGCCACAGTGCTGTTAAACATCTCCCTCCCCACCCCTCCACCCCCCATAAAACTGCCCCAACCCTGCTATAAAAACAACAGAACACAATAAAATACATTTCAGGCTGAGCCGGGAACAAAGAGTGGCTCCAACACAAACAAGACAAGAAACACAAGACATAACATCTTTACACGTTTCTATAAAAATTGCCATAGCTCGTAGGGAAAGTGGTTACGCCTATGTCAACAAGAATACTGTGAAACTAGGGAGTGTCTAGAGGTTCAGGACAGCTGCCACTTCTGGCCACGTCTTCTGGGCTCTGCTGCAGGAACTGAGGATGCTGAGGGGCAGGGCCGGGCCCCTCGCCCTACTCTGAAGGTCAGGCCACTGGCTGGATGTACTTTTGGGTTAGAAAGATGCTACAGGCTCCTTCCTCCTTTCCAGAGAGAGGGACACAGCAGGAGGGCTGGGGGAGGGGGCCCCAAAAGCTTCCTATGCCCAAGAAGCCAGCCAAGAGATTGTCCCTCTCCAGAAAGAAAGCCCTCCGTCGGACAAAGTTCATGGCCCCTGGGAGCCAGCACACATGCATTCACATGGCATAAAGCCCCACAGCAACCGTCACCACCAGAAAGCTCAGTGTGAGGACCCATCGGAGGAGCGGGGCCTGGGAGAGGACGTTGAGCTGGGGCTTCCCTCTGGGCGTCTCCAAAGGGGTGACGTCTGAAAGAGAAAGAGGCAAGGTCAACAACAGGTCGGTGGGTGTCAGGGAGTCTGACACACAGAAAAGCCCAGCAGAGGGGCCGCAGCATCTCTGGCACAGTCCTTGCCCAATGCCAGGATTCTGCTAGAGCATGGACAGGTGTCCTTTTGGCCACTGCTTGCATACTTTCAAAGATGGGGAGCTTACTAATTCTCCAAGTTGCCCATTCTCCCACGTTCAGCCGGGCCACATTGTGAGGATGTTCTCAGGCCCTAGGCATAGTTTTCAGAGTCCTTCCTGCTACTAGGAATAGGTCTGAGCTGTAAATCCTCACTTCAAACTCAGTTTCTAAGGGCGGTGGTCATGGGGCAGGAGCTAGAAAGCCGGAGCTCTGAGGTCAAAATCCAACTTCATTTACATGGGACAGGCCAGAGCCAGCCGTGCAGTCTGGGTGGGTGGGCCGTCTCCACCTCCTCAGGCACAGAGTGGGTGTTCCCTGGGTTCTTAGAATCAGGACACAGCCCAGCGAGGACTCTGGAGCCAGACCAGCTGGGTTTGGATCCTGGCTCCACCCTGGGCATCTACAGGAGGGGCTTCCTGGGAGGAAGCAGGGCCCCCAGCTTGGTGGCCCAGGATTGCAGCTGCGGGGAATACAAGCAGGCAGGTGCCCTGCTGCATTTTACATTGTCGTTCATATTCAAGTTTCCTTCTGATGCACTTGGGGACCAGTTCTCAAACTTTTGGGTCTCAGGACTACTTTATACTCAAAGGTGACCAGTTATCTATCCAGGAGAGCTTTTGCTTGTGCGAGTATAGCTATTGCTATTGACCACATCAGAAATGAAAAGCGAGAAACTCTTCACACGCAACGACACACAGGCACACGTTCCAGGAGCCATCAGATCCCCGAGAGGTCACCATGTGCCATGTCACCTTTGCAGGACTCCAACATGCATTCATGAGAAAGAGTAAACAAAGGCCAAAAAATAGTGATAATAGCATAAAAATAACTTTGACCTCACAGACCCCCTGAGGGGGTACTGGGACGCCCACCCCAGGGTACCACACTTTAAGAACTGCTGCCTTAGGGCAAAGTCCCCCACCCCACCGGGTAGCCAGTCCCATCAAGACTGGCCACATCCCAACCCTCCTAGGCACAAAGCACCAGCAGAAGGGTCCACGTGGCCCTGGCACGGGTGGAAAGCCACAGGCCAGGTGGCTTGGGGTGGCACTCGGAGAGAAGGCCTAAAGTAGCCTACCAGTGGGTTCCCACTTGCTCCCAAAGCCACACTCCTTCCCACGGTGTGCTAGGCCTGGTGAAGGTACATTTTGTGGAGCACTTTGGTCTTTTTGGACGTTTCCCAGATGTTCTCACTACAGCCACAGCCTTGATCGCCGTCTAAGGCACACGAGGGAGGGGCCGACACGCAAGACTCAGAAGGGACACATATTCCTGCAGTGGGTTAACAGCTGAAACAGGTGCCCTGACTCTGGCCCACATCAGGGGGCCTGCTCAGGAACCTGTAAAGGGCCTAAAAGGGAGTCTAAATTAAGTCAGCGGGTAGGGGTTGCCCATGACTTCTGAGGGGTTCTTGTGCACTGTTGAGCCAATGAACTAGAACTAGCTCGACCTCTCTGGATTTTCCAGGTGGGGAAACTGAGGTATGGAGAAATCTCACGGCTTGCCCGGAGCCACACGCTGAAGGTTGGCACAGGCCCTTTTGCCTGCCCTCTACTTCTCACATAAAACATTCAGAAGACGGGAGAGTAGAGATACTAGAGACAGCGGGCCAGGCTATGTCCCCCTCCCACGGAGCCCTCACCTTGCGCCCTGCTGTGGGCCCGCCGGTGAAGCCCCCCTGCCTTCGAGGGACTCTGGTCCTTGGTGTCCGGAGTCAGCAGCTCCTGCAACTCCTCAAAGAGCTAAAAGGCAAAAGACACATATGCCCATCTCAGTGAGAGATGCTGCCAGGCCCCGGCTGAAGGTACGACTCGAAGTTTTCTTATGAAATATTTTAGAACTCAAAAGAAAAATACTGAACATTCCTGTCCCTTTCACCCACCGCAAGCGATAAGGTGCTCCAAGCACAGCTGGCGCCCCTGGCCTGCTCTTCCCTTCCCTCCAGTAAAAGCTCTCCTGGATTTAGAGTTCACCGTGGCTATTCATGCCCTTAGTCCTGGCCTTATGCAAAGCGCTGTGTTGCTTGTTCTGAAACAATATACGACTGGTATCGTAGTCTGGGCACGCTTTCTGCAGCTGCTTTCTTCACCCGACTTTGTATCTGTGAGATTCATCCTTGGGTGAATGGATGTTGAATGGTATTTATTAGGCTAGTTTTGCAGATGAGGAAATGGCAGCTCCCAGAGGCTACGTGCTTTTCCTGAGACTAACCCAGAGGCCAGGCACCAAGAGCCAGTGCTCAGGGGGCTCTGACTCCAAATCCCCTGTTCCTTTGACTATACTTCTCTGAAAGACACAGTTTTTCCTGGAGGATTGATTGGATTTAGGGGGTGGGGGTGCAAGGGAGGGGCCTCGCTCCACAACAGGGGCGATGCAAGGGTGGGAGCAGGGAACCTGGAGGGCGTGAGCCAGAGGCCCAGCTCCCCCGGTGCCTCCAGCTGGTGGGAAGGGCGAGAGGACTAACTCTCTGGTTAGAAGGAACCCCACCCCTCCACCTCCGCCCAAGAATTCGGCCTTCAAGGCCTTGCTCAAACTCCATCTTCCCCCTGGAATTGGGGCACTTGTAGAAAGATGGCAAACTGCCTCCCTGGCTGGACTGAAATTCCCTGGAAGGTAGAGGCTGTGTCTCCAGCACCTGTGACTCTGGCAGTGCCAACCTGGCTACACACAACTACACATGACTTACACGTGGCCACAGACTGCCGGCAGACAGTGATTCTCTCACCGCGAGTCTCATGCCCGTGATGACAGTAGCTAATGTTTGAGGGCTTCCCCTGTGCCAGGCGCTGCCAGAGGGACTTTAGTGATGTAGACCCCCAGCGCCCTCCCCTACAATAAGAGAAGTGACTCGCAGAGGACGGGCTGCAAGAGGCAGCGGCTGCCCTAGGCTGCCAGACCCTCACCTGGATGTTGAGCAGGAACGCAGTCTTAGCCTCTTCGACCACCCTCTGCCTGACCTCGGGGGTCATCTCCAGGGAGTTCATGCGGGAGCGGTAGAGCTGCTTGAACTTGGTGGCGCTGGCGATGCTGGGGAAGGTGAAGAAGGCCAGGCCCTCGCCGGAGCCGGGCAGGTCCAGGGCCTTCTGAGCAATCTTCTTGAGGACCTGGCCCCCAGACAGGTCGCCCAGGTAGCGGGTGTAGGCGTGGGCCACTAGCAGCTCGGGCTCCGTGCGTCCCACCTCGTGGAGTCGCCGCACGTAGCGCTGCGTGGCCGGCGTGTAGGGGACAACCTCCTGCCAGCTGGGCCCATACCAGAAGGCCATGTCCTGCTCCAGGGCGGCCCTGCGGTGCAGCTCTTCCGGGAAGTAGAGGGGCGCGTAGACTGGGTTCTCCTTGTTGCGCTCGATCTCCTCCTCCAGGGCCACATAGATGTGGTACAGGGAGGCCATCACCAGCTGAAGCCAGAGGGAGCAGGTCAGGCCCGGCCACACAGAAGACCCCGCCTGGTCCCTCCCCTCCACTGCTCCACTTCTCAGCTGGGCTCTGCCTCCTGCTATACCCCCAGCCTTTCCACACAGCAGCCACAGGGATTTTCACAATAGAAAAATGCGATCACGCACTCTCTCACCTAAAACCCTTTTACCCCACTGGGTAAAACATGTGGCCTTATTTAATCCTCATAAAAATCCAGCAAAGGAATTGCTATTCCCATTTTACAGGAAAGGAAACTGAGGCTCAGAGAGGGTATGACACATTGAGGTAGCACAGTGAGTAAGAAATGAAATTGGATTTAAGACCAGGCGTTCCTCAGGAGCCATCATGGCTCTGGAGCAGGGGAATACCTGAAATGAACATGCTTAAAGGAAGCTGACCAGGTGCCTCTGGCCTTTGACCTCTGGGTGACCATCTGCAGCACACAATTCTCCTTCCCGGAGGCCCACTCTGAACCCCACCACCTCTGGACACTGGGCTGGGGCGACAGGCCCCGAGCGCACCTTGGCTTGGGGAACTCATTCCCATTACACATTAATACTCTAGTTTGAATTTGAAGAAGGACAAAGTTAAGATGTTCCAGTTGAGGTTATTTCTGAGCCATAAACATTCATGACTGCCCTAGTCCTTAAAGGGACAGAAAACCAGGCAGCCTGATAGGAAAAAGCCAAGGTTTTCAAGTGTGACGGACCCAGTTCTAACCTAAGCTCTGCCACTCCTCAGCTGTGTGGCCGTGGGTGAGCCACTTTCCCTCTCTGGTCTCAGCGTCCTTCCCTGGAGTGGGAGATGATCTGAGGCCTGTGTGGTTCTGTGCAAGTCAAGCTTCAGTTCCCTCTCCTGCCACATACTACCCAGGGCTGGTGTGAGGGTTAAGAGAGGTGATGCAGTCAAAGTGCAGGGTGCAGCCTGGCACTTAGCGCTCAAATTAGAGAGGTCATGATAAGTGCTACCTCCACCAACGTGGTGCAGTGAGCACCGGGTTCTCGCATGGATCTTGGTGCCCACTTTGAACTCTGTGACTAAGAGGCAAGATCCAAAGTCTACGGTAGCTGGGGATGGGACAGTCCGGTGGTCACCTCCCTGCCCTCCTTGCCTCCAGTCACACTATAGCGACTGGGTGTATGACGTCTTTTTGAGGGTGCAGGGAGGAGGATGAGGAAGACTCGTTACACATTCAAGGGACCCAGCCACCCTAGAACTGCACGTTAAATATCCCCCCACCGGCTGGATGCGGTGGCTCACACCTACAATCCAAGCACTCTGGGAGGCCAAGGCAGGTGGATTGTTTGAGCTCAGGAGTTCGAGACCAGCCTGAACAAGAGTGAGACCCCTTCTCTACTAAAAATAGAAGGAAATTAGCTGGACATCTAAAAATATATAGAAAAAATTAGCCGGGCATGGTGGCGAATGCCTGTAGCCCCAGCTACTCGGGAGGCCGAGGCAGGAGGATCACTTGAGCCCAGGAGTTTGAGGTTGCTGTGAGCTAGGCTGACGCCACGGCACTCTAGCCCAGGCAACACAGTGTGACTCTGTCTCAAAAAAAAAAAAATATCTCCCCCCACCGAGGCATCTCTCATGTTGGGGGGGAGGTAGCAGTTTGCAAAAGGACGGGGTTAACACATCCTCTGTTCAGCCTGAGCAAGGCTTTTCCCCACACTGACGCTCAACACCCCACACCTGTCTGGTTCTCTGTCAAGCACTTTCCTTTCATTTGCATGCATTTCACAACAGTGCCAAGAAACAGCAAAATCAACGCCTAGCACATAGCCAGTGCTTAAGAAAACTCTGATGTTGAAATCCCATTTTACAGATGAGGAAAAGGTGGCTTAGGGAGGTTAGATGAGGCGCCCCCAGTCTCACGTTATATGGTCCTGCTAGGGCTCGAATCCGCACTACCCCTTGTCTTCAGAGGCAAATTAGAATTAGGAAAGAGCACAAGCTCTGAAATGAGACTCGTCTTGGTTTGATTTTGGCCTTTTCCATTTACTTACTGGCTGTGTGACTGTCTGTTAGTCACTTGACCTCTCTGAGCCTCCCCTTCCTCATCTTTCTCATCAGGGTTGAGGCACAGATGAGAAATCAAGTGTATAAAATGCCCAACACAGAACAGGTGCTCAGTAGATGGCATTGCTGGCCCAGCCCCTCCACAACATTACATAGCAGGCCATGAACTTGCTGTGTGACCCTGTGTAAGTCACCACCCCTCTCTGAGCCTCAGCATCATCATTTGTAAGATGACTCCTTTAGACATGCCCATCTGGTCCCTCAGCATCCCTGGCACCAGTCCCCACTTAAGCTATATAGCCTGAGCCTTGAATACCCCACACCTGCCACACCCTCCACCAGGGTTCGTCCCACCTGGGCACATACCTTAAAGCCATCTCGGGTCACCTGGCCCTTCTGAAAGTTCTTCATGAACTCAGTGTTCTCCGCCCGGGTGTGTACCTCCTTGGTGGCCTCCTTCAGGGCCTCTGACAAATCCTGAGGCATGCTGCCGAGGAAGCAGGGTGAGGGTGAGGATGGGGTTCTTCCAGACCACCTGTCAGAAGGCCTTCAAAAGACTCCCAGTCTCCTACAGGCCATGTTTCCTATTCATTTCAGATGCAGCTCGTAAACACTGTCCAGTCATTAAAATACTACATCATATAGTCCCCAAAACCAAGGAGGAAAACCCTGTAATCAGTTAGTCCCAGTGATATTGAGGAAGAGGTACAGCGTAGCCCAGAGCAGCAGCAGGCCATGAGAGTACTCATCGCCAACGTCTTAATTGCTCTCATTGGCTTCTGGACCCCGTATTTAATCCATTTATTTTGTTGAAGTTTCAGGCACAAATCTCACAACCCCTATGATGTTATGCTCATCATCACAGTGTTTGGTTAAAAAGCCTGAGAAAGTCAGGCACATAATCCTAGTACTTTGGGAGGCTGAGGCAGGAGGATCGCTTGAGGCCAGGAGTTCGAGCCCAGCCTGGGCAACATAGAGAGAACTCGTATTTATAAAAAATAGGAAAAATTAGCCAGGTATGGTGGTGTGCACCTGTGATCCTAGCTACTCAGGAGGCCAAGGCAGGAGGATCGCTTGAGTTTGAGGCCAACCTGGGCAATATAGCAAGACCAGTCTCAAAAAAGAAAAAAAAATTCTTGGGAGAAGGGAATAAACAAGACTTGGAGGTGGAAAGAACAAAGTTCAAGTCCCGGCTCTGACACCTGCTGGCTGGGCAACCTTGGGCACGTTGCCTCTCTGAACTGTGCAATCCTTAACTGTGAAGTGAGGAATACCATGGCCAAGGGGACGTCCCCTCTCAGGTGTTGCACAGCTAGTGAGAGGTGGATGCCGCGGAAAGAACCAAGCACTCTCCACTAGGCTGGGGGAGCCCCAGGGATCCTAGACTAGACAGAGAGCACCTCCAAGCACACCTCCAAAGCTGGATACAAAAATTAAAAAGTTGGCTGCTTCAAAGGTTGGATACCATAGGGACATTCCCATCTGGTCACCCATGGCACACCAGGGTGCCAGGCATGTGAAGCACCCTTTCTCCCTCCAACTCCCCCTCGGGCACAGGAAGGATCCGAACCCAGCTCTTTCTGACTCCAAAGCCCAAGTTCCCGGCCCCTCTGCTCTGTCGTCCCGGCTGTGTCTCAGGGAGGGACTGAGACGCGAGCCGGGCGGGAAGGGAAGAGCCCCGCGCCCCGTGCCCCGCGCTTGCCTGTCAGGCTGCGGGCGCTCCATCGGCGAGGCTGGTCTCGCTGGGTGCTGGGTGCTGAGTGCCGGCTGCTGGCTGCGCGGGCGGCGGCGCGGAGGACGCTGGCAGGAGGCGCGCAGTGACCGTGCCGAGCCGTAACCGCGCCGCCCATTTATGCTCCGGGCGGGTCACGTGGGCCGGCCGAACAGCTGATGCCCACTTTCTAGCCCGACGTTGCGACACCCACGGGGGCCCGCGCCCCGCCCGCCCCCGGCCAGCGCGGGGTGGAGGGGAGCGGAGCGGTCATGTGACCCTCGGAAAACAAAGCCTGGCCACAGGACATTTAGAGAGAAAAAAAACCAACTTCAGGAAATCTGAGCAGCTGCGGGCTCTGGGTGTGACTGTGGGCTTCCAGAGCCCACTACCCATTGATGGGACTTGGCACACTCCAGGAATCCAGAAGGTTCTAGAGAGTTGGGAGGTAGCGCTCCTCAGAGCAAGAGGCTGGTGGGCAAGGTCAGGGACTTGTTCCCTAAAATGTCACCTCCCCCACAACTGTGCGCTGACAGCCTGCCTCCCCACACCCTCTTTAAATGTACACTTAGGGCCTGTTTTATGAGCACCCACTGTGTGTTAGAGGCGGTACTGGTATCATGGTTCATCCCTACAATTACCTGCTGGGGGTGGATCACTCCCATTTTACAGATGGCAAGACTGAGGCTCAGGGGGATGAGTGGTGTGCCCAGGGTCACGCATAAAGCAGGAGGCCAGACTCCAAACCTAGGGAGTAGTCTAAGTCTCCACCTACCTCCTCCATGCTGTGTTGGCACTTGGTATACACCTGGCCTGGGACACCTGTCATACAAACTGCCTCCCTGACAGGACGTGGGGGACACTCTCCCAGTGTGTGTCTGGTCTGATTTGTCTCTTATCCCCAGTGCCCACTTGGGGACTGGAGTGGACATGGCCTTCGCTGATCACCCATTGAATTAATTCTGCATGAAGGGGACTGCTCCGGACTGCGGGTAGACAGGGTCGCTCACCCAGTGGAGTACAAGGGAGGGAGAAGATGGGGAATGTAGATAATTTTTTTTTTCTCTTTGTACTTCACCCGTTAATCTGCTTCAGACAATTTTTTTTTTAGAGACAGGAGGTCTCGCTATGTTGCCCAGGCTGTGGACAATTGCTTTGTTTTGTTTTTTTTTTTTTTACTTCTTTACAGAACTTGGGGCTGGTGATAATGTAGATAATTCTTTTGAGGGGCAATGAGTCATTAGGGAGAAAGAATAGCCTGGTTGAGGTGATAACCCCAATCTGTCCTCTCCTCCAGTGGCTGATCTTTTTCCTGATTATTTGATGAGATCTCTAGAAAGAGAATTTAAGACAATTGCATTTCTTTTGGAAAGAAGCTTTCTTGGTCAGACAAGGGAATTCCAGAGAAAGTGCCTGGGGGTGAGGGCAGGGGAGGTTGGGGAGACTAGGTCAGAGGGACCTTGACTCTGAGGCAGCTTCCGGGGCCTCTCAGCATGTCAGAGGGCCAGTCTTGGGATGTCACTTTCTGAGCCCCGACGATAGCATATAAAGCCTGAGGACAGGGACCTCGTCTGCTTTGCTTTGTAAATGCGCAGACTGGAGCAGTGCTGGCAGGGACAGTTAATAATACCGAACGCATGAATAAATGGGTAGATACATGGATAGATACTACCAGGTCTCTTTCTGGGAAAAATACGTGTGTGACCTCATCTGATCTTGACAACAGCCCTGTAAGGTTCATCCCTGTAAGGATGATAAAAATCATCATTTTTATCTCCATTTTGTCCACAAAAGCACTGAGGCGCAGAGAGGTTAAGTAATTTTCCCAAGTCACACAGCTAGTGATGTCAAAGCCAGGATTCAGTCTACGGCACTTTGAAGCCAGCCCCCACGCTCCTGACCACCACACCTAGCCCTCTCACAAAAGCTCCAGGAGCGTAGGGGAGGAGGGTGTGAAGGTCTGAAAGCTCGCCATCTACAGATCCGAGCCTGTCAATTCAGGGACCCCAGAAGGTAACGCTCATGTGCTCTGACCACTTTCTGTTTAATGCAGGGGAGCAGAGTCCCGAAGAAGGGGAGGGGCTTGGCCAGGCTCCGCCCCCGTCATAGACAGACTATCCCAGTGACCCAGGGTTCCTGGTGCCCGGTCCAGGCTTGCTCCCTTTTCCAAGTTCTCTGGGAGCCCCAGACTCGGCCGGAACAGACCCCACACACAGACAGTGCTTGGTGGCGGGGCCAGGCCAGAGCTGCCCCGGTCCTCTCTGTCCCAGTGCTGAGCTGAGCGCGGGGCCCTTTCCTATGCCAACTCAGCGTCCTGACTTCCCCTTTCCTCAAGCAACTGAAGGATCCAAATGCCATCCTTCCTCCTCCCGTGGTGGCTGAATAACGGCCCCTCAGAGATGTCCGGCCCCTCAGAGATGTCCGCAGCCTGGTCCCCAGAGCCTGTAAGTAGGTTACCTTACCAGGCAAAAGGATTTTGCAGATGTGATTAAGTCAAAGCTCTTGAGATGGGAGATTATCCTGGATTATCCCCGGGGCCTAATGTAACCACTAAGTCCTTACAGAGGGAGGCTGGGGGTTACAGACACGGAAGGCGTGGGGGCAAGGAAAGGGAGGGACAGAGCCAGCCTGGAAGAGGCTGGAAGATGCCGTGCTGCTGGCTCTGAAGACGGAGGATGGGCCACCAACCAAGGAGCACAGGCAGGTTCTAGAAGCTAGAAAAGGTGAGGAAATGGATTCTTTTCTGTAGCTCCAGAAGGAACACAGCCCACCCACATGAGGACCTCGGACCTCCAGAACCCTAGAGAATAAATCTGTGCTGTTTCAAGCCAAATGTTTGTGGCGATGTGTTGCGGCAGCAATAGGAAACGGATACCCCCCACTCCAAGCCTGCCTTACTCATAGTTGGGCAGATCCTCAGCTTTGGGAAGCAGGGAGGGACAGATAGGGCCCCCGAGGACCCTGGGGGGTTCTCCAGCTGCTCCTCTGTTACAGCAAGTGTGACAGCAGGTGGTTCCAAGGACAAACAGAGCGGCACATGGAGAGTCAGAGAGTCAAAGTTTATTTGCTGGCGGGCTCAGAGGGGTCTCGCCACCAAATTCTGAGCCCCGTCTACCCGATTTTCCCCACTTTTATTAAGTTGGGGAGGTCCGAGGGGTGCGGTCTCAGGTGGCTAATGCCCGCCAGGTAGTAGGTTAGTTGATGTGTCAGGTAATAGCTTAGTATTATGTTGGTGCACCAGGTAATAGGTTTAGTGTTATGCTGATGCACCAGGTAACAGATTAGCTCACCTCTTGTTTCCCCAGTGTGTATCTCCTAGCAGATGCCGCAGGTAGAGAAATGTGACGTGTGAGGGCTCCATGGACTGCAACGTTAACAGGGGCGGGGGCGCAGGTGGGGTGGACCTTGGGTGGGAGCCGTGGGAGGCAGGGGGCAAAGGCCCCCAGGCCGACACGGACAAAGAGTGGCAAAGAGGTCATGTGGCTGGAGCAGAGTGGGGCGGGGGACAGGGCAGGGGAGGAGGGCAGAGAGAGATGGGGAATGGAGCGAGTCAGGCCTGGCCCGCTGTTGCAGGGAGCTTTTGGGGGATGTGGGGATGTGGGGGATGTGGAGGCTTTGGAGTGAGGAAGGATGCGATCTCATCTTGGTTTTTGGTTTTCCTGGGATCGCTGTGGTTGCTGAGGGTGAGACTGGACTGAAGAAGGCCCCGGGCGGAGGCTGCCTGGCGCAGCACTCCGGGTGAGAGATGACGTGGCCTGGATCGGAGTGGGTGAGAAGTGGCCTAGGACATACATATTTGAAAGGGAGAGCCAGCGAGAATGTGAGAAGAACAGAGAACGAGATGAAGAAAGGCGTCAAGGAATCTCCAGGTCTGGGTCCAAGCAACTGGGAGGTTTGGGGGTAGCTCAGGAGCCCAGTGTGGGACCTGTCAGTTTTGAGATTTAAGGGACAGGGCTTTGCAAACAATGTGTAAAGAAGTAAGAGATAAACAAGAGGCCTTTGCCCTTTTCTATAAGTTTCAGTTCCTTCTGCCTAGGTTTATTGTTGTCTTTTCCCCCCCCCCCGGGGGCAGAACTGAGGAAGCAGCTGGTGACTCAGCAAAATCTGCCTTCCCTTTGTCTCTGCGCGTCCCCCCTCCCAACCATGACACAGCAGAAACGCAGCTGCTCGGGCGGGAATGTGGAAATCAGGACTCGGCGTTCTCAAGGCGCTGCCAGAAAACAGAAGTGGTTTGGGCCCCAGGGAGGGGCCAGGACAGTGGCTCCCAAACCCCTAATAGTGAAAAACAAAGGCAAGTCGCCAGCGGAGGGGGGACACTTGGCCCAGCTGGATGATGGGAAAGAAGAATGGGGAGACCCTGCCTTGGTGTCCTCAAGCAGCAGACATCCCAGATAAATAAAGTCACTGAGGGTGTCCTGACCACACCCATGCCCCACACATACCCAGAAAGGACATGTCCTGACCTGGCAGGGCAGGGTCCCCTGTGGTGATCCGCCACCTGACTGCTCTGCCACAGGCTGGGACACAGCCTTCTTCAGCAGGGCAGACAAGCCCGAATCATTAAAATAAAAATCTACAGACTGGACTGCAAAATGGTAAATGCTTCTGATGGTAAGAGACTCCACTGATAAAGCTGAGACCCTACTCACAGACCCGGAGAAACTGTTTGCCACACATATAACAGATGAGAGATGAACATTCCTAACAAAGGAGCTCCCCCGAAGTAATAAAAGATGACAATCCAACAGGAAATGTTAGAATTTGGTACAGGTTGCTTAGCAGGATCCATTGGCACAGCCGCCTCCTCCGAGGCGTAGGAGAGCCAGCCCTCTGGCACAAAAGAGCCGGAGAACAGGGTGGGACTCTGTTCTTTATCTCATTTATTCCTCCTCCTGCCCCTGATTTTGGAGATAAAGCAACCTAGGTGACTGCACCACTCCTCTGGTTAACACCTTTCAGTAGCTTCCCACTTCCCTTAGGATAAAGTGCAAGCTCTTTAGCCTGGCACACCTGGTCCTCGGCCATCCAGACCTGCCCGTCTGTCCAGCAGGAGGGATCTCGCCCACTTGTCCCTCAGACCATG